TGGCTTGAGGCATAACAAAGGTATGGTCAATTAGCATCTTTGTCTTTTATTAGTGTAGATAGCTTATACTTATTTGGCAGTCTATACCTTGTAATGATCTCTCATGTGCATCATCTCATTTGGCTCTCAGACTCACCAAGATGGCATTATCAACCTCATAGGTTTTAGATGAGGAAACTAAGATTCAAAGACAGAGGATAAGTGACGTTCTCAAAGTCAGAATGGTTCAGTAAAAATAAGCCAGATACACCTGGATTTGAGTCCCAGCTTTCCTGTGGGCAAATTAGTTCATCACTGACTCAATTTGGATGTACTAAGTTAAAAGTAACATAAAATTTAACAGCTTGAACCATAGCACATTTATTTATTTAATGAAGTTTGGAGGCAGAGAGCTTTGTGGTTAGTTGGGCAGATCAACAACTTTGTAAAGGTTGTTTTTATCCTTCATCTTGGGCACCTTGCTGTTTTGTCCTCATGCTTGTGGCCTCTTGGTTGCCACAACCCAAAACATCACATATTCACACTACAGTCAAAGTCAGGAAGAAAGTTCAGGGGAAAAGTAGCTTGACTTTTATTAGGGAAGAAGGATTTTCCCTAGAACTCCCAGAGATTTCCACTTATATCTTATGGATCAGAACTGCATGCTTTAAGTATCTTTATACTGCAATTGAAGCTAGTAAATGAGTACCTGACAAATAGAAATGGGATTGCCATGATTGACTAAGACCAATGAAGAACCAATTTTTTGGCTGGTCACCTTGTCACCCAGAATGAAATCAATGTTCTGTTAGTAAGGGAGAAAAAAATGAATAGTGAATATTGAATAAGCAGCTAACAGAATCTGAAAGTGCATTCATATGAATAGTAAACATCAATGCAAATAATTATTTGCAGAAAAATCAAAATTATTTTCTCAGGACATATTTCTAGAAGTATAATTACCAAGCTATGTAATGCATACAGCTTTAAGATTCTTGAAATATATTAGCAGATAACATTTTTTATTTTTTTATTTTAGAGAGAGAGGATGAGAGAGAGGGAGAAAAAGAGAGAGAGAGATTTGTTGTTCCACTTGTTTATGCATTCATACTCTGATGATTGTATGTGGCCTGACCAGGGATTGAACCCACAACCTTGGTGTATTGGGATGACACTCTAACCAACTGAGATACTCAGCCAGGGCCAACACTTCTTATTTTTTACTAATTTTCATTGAAATGACATTTATTTTCAACAGTGCATGGAATTCTTAAATTTCAAATGCTTAATCACACATGAATAATGCATGTTTTTGTCATCTATTAATTTTATGCCTCCCTTTGTAACATTACATTACTAATTTATAAGAACTTTATGAATTTTTTTTTCATTCTTTGCTAGAGAAAAATCAAAACATTGTTGTATTTATTTGTCTATTTGCATTTCCAATTTTATGAATTGTTCCTTATTGATTGCTTTTCTGTTTTACTCATTTTTTATAGTTCATTCTTGACTCATATAAGGCAGCTGAGTAGACAAGCATGTAGCACAATAAAGAGCATTTTAAAAATAATTTATATAAAGTATAAAAATTTAAAAATCAAATTGTTTTGAATTTTGTTTCATTTTATCATCTTTTGACTATTTCATATATTTTCCATTTGACATATTAATTTGATGACATACATTATCATATTACAAAAATTAAAATATCTTACATTCCCAAGAAAACATTATTGATTGTAATTTTGGTTTAAATACCCTATTATGTTTTATAAATTAATATTTTACTTATAATAAATAAATGCTCGTATTGCACTACAAACATCAAAATGTGTATCATAATTGTGTTAGCTTAGTAAAATTAATAAAAAAGATCAATGTTTTTCTGGTTATAAAACCAGTTACTAGCTAAAGAATTTTTGGGGCTTTGATTATTTGGAAGAATTTACTTTACCTCCTAATTAGGAAAGAGGATTCTCAATATAATATTTTATGGTAATTTGTTTCTTTTTATTTTTAAGAAATGATTCATCTATTCATTTAAGTAATTATTATTGAAGACAATCTGTGACTATTTTTACCCAATATGCAAATCTCTACTTTTAATTGGTGTACATAAACCATTTATATTTAAGGTAATTATTGATATGTTAAAACCAATTTCTGCTATTTTGTTATTATCTCTCCCCACCGCCCTTTCCTTCGGTAATCATCATACTGTTGTCTGTGTCTATGAATATTTTTTTTTGCTTAATCTCTTCACCTTTTTTACCCAATACCCAACCCCCTTCCCCTCTGTAAGCTGTCAGTCTGTTCTTTTTATCTATAAGTCTTTTTTTATTTTGTCTGTTTGTTTATTCATTAGATTCCACATATAAGTGAAATCATATGTTATTTGTCTTTCTGTTACTGGCTTATTTTCCTTAGCACAATACTCTTTTAAAAAACTGTTATTTGTTAATATAGTAGTCTATTGCTGAGGTGTTTTTCAAAGTATTTTTGCAGACTGCCATATGTAGTCACTGAAGTCTCTGTTCCTTTAGATTATGTTCAGCTAATATTTTGACATAGATTTCATGAGTGTCAAGAGTTAAAAAATTAAACAACATCAACAACGTAAACACACACACACACACACACACACACACACACACACACAATTCCCAGTTTTTGGAGATTGGCTCTGTGCTGAAGCACTCCTTCAACACTTAGTCAAACTTGCACTTACCCTATGGATTAGTCCAGTGTGTTATTGGAGGGGGTTTCTCTCTTCCAGAGACCAGCGCCGAAAGAGAGAACATGGGGGTTCATGAAATCTTGAATAGAACGCGACGAGGTTTAAGGAACAATGAAAAAACATAAGACTGAGACAGAAATAGAGTGAAAGCTGGGCCTGGGTGTGGCGACTGCCCTCTGATGGAGGGACAGACACAGAGAGCATCAGCACCGCAAGCAGATTTATTTATACTCGAATAACAGGAAGTTACATCACATCTGGGTGACCCTTGAGTTCCTGGCGACATCATGAGATCCACCCCCTTAACACTGGGCGGGAAGGTCAAACTGAGTGGTGTTCCAATCTCTTGATTAGTTCCACCCCCAGGGCATGGCTCTGCCTGCGCTCTGAGTTTCAGCCAACATAATTAAAGATGCTCGAGTGTTTTGCCAGAAGCCCTTAACAGTGTGTAAACTTTGGGTCTTCTCTGGTCTTTTCTACGCATGTGTCTTGCCTTAGGCATGCATGTGCCTTTCTAAATCACCCCATATATATGGGTACTTTCTTAATTTCCTAAAGAATCTTCCCTAGTTTTAGCTCATATGATTAGGCAGTCTATTGTGTGTGTTCACTCATTATTTGTTACCCCAGGCATCTGTGGTTTGTTAGTTTGCTTTTTGACTTTTTTTAAACAAATGCCCACCCTTTATCAGTCTGCATTCTGAATTGAGTGAAATAGAGGTGATCGCCATGTCTCAGTCCTTCAGGTGGCCACCAGACACATTGGAGCAGACATACACAATACTTTGTGAATAAGCTTTGCTGAACTCACTTGGAAACTAGGAATAAATTTCTCACACTAGGAACATAGGCTGATTCCACGTAAAGACTGCCTCCACCTTAGGACTGTTAATACTCTGTGGAGAGGGCTGTGGTAAGGGAAAGTAAAAATGGCACAAAAAATTCCTATCATTTATAAGTTGCCTTTTTCTTGATTCAGCATTTGTTTCATTATATAAACCTTTGACTGTTTCCAAGAGTTATGACAACATTGATTCTGACAGTTTCTGCTTGCTTTTCTATGTTTCTGTGAAGGAATGAAAGCTTGGAGCTGCTGCTTCTTCCATTGTCTTGGCATCCTGTCATTTTTAATATATCGATTTCACCATCTCCCTGTATATCCCTATGTACCAGAAAATCAAAGTATAAAGAAAATGAAGGATATATTAAGTATCAAGCATTTGGGGAGCAGGCCTGGGAGAGACACACGTCATTTTAATCCATTGGCTAAAAACTAGGCACATGGCTTATCTAACTGCAGTGGTGAACAAGCCAGTTTCTGCCAGAACTACCACATAGTTCATATCCATTGATAATTAGAATTGTGTCTTTGAGAAAGAGATATGGCATATCAGGCTGGAACCTTGTTCCTAGGTTAAAATGTCATAGCTAGAAAAACATTTATAGACCATCTATTTGAATTTCCTATGACTCCCCAAAATTGAGAAGGGTCAGCCAGAGTCACAGTGAGTCAATACCAGACCTCAGCCAAAAGCCAGCTGGATTACTCATCTCTCCTCTATACCATTGGCATTCAGACATTTTTTTACCATTGCCAAGAGTAATAAATTTTTCATCACAAGCCAACACATACTTATATAGATTTTATCTGTAAAATTTTACAAAGCAATACTGAGGTAGATAGTGAATACAGCTATTTGTCAAATCTCTTCAGCTCCTTGCTTTCTAGAATATTGTAGAATTTCACTTTATTTTACTTTCATAGTTACTAATAATCAGGTGATATGTGTGGTCAAGGATATGTGAGCAACATGACATGGGAAGAACCATGTTCTCTTTTCCCTGATGCTCCAATCATGGCAGCACAAAGATGAAACCTCTGTCACCCAGGTGACCCAATGAGAATAATGTAAAGCAGAGCCCCCAGGAAACTTCTGGTAGGCAAATAGTGTGAGTGAAAAATAAACTTTTGTGGTGTGTTTCTTTTAAAGACACTGAAATTTGGAGTTTGCTTTTTGCCATAGCATGACATAGCCTATGATGACTGATATAAGTACCTAGCTTTAGTGTATGCTATGCACTGTGGTACTTTATATCATTATTTTATTTTGCCTTATTACAAAATTTTAGTGCTGTTTGTAACCTAGTAAACTGATTTCATGACTTGGTAATGGGTTGCAACTTGCAGTTTGTAAACTCTGTACAATACCCACTTGTCCCATAGCTGATCCTCTATCCAAGTTCCTGTACAGCAATGTTAGTGACTCCCATTTCTCTGCAGGATTGTGGTTATGGAGAGGGTGGAGATGCATACTGCACAGCCTGCCCTCCACGCAGATACAAAAGTAGCTGGGGCCATCATAGATGTCATATTTGCATCACCTGTGCTGTCATCAATCGTGTCCAAAAGGACAATTGCACAGCTACCTCTAATGCTGTCTGTGGGGACTGTCTTCCAAGGTGAGCCTGCTCTATGAAGTGAAGTCGTTCTGGGCCTTCTCCAGCCCTTGGAGTTTTCTCAGAGCCTAGATAAAGTAGTCTAACTGTCCATTTCATGACAAGTGTAAGCGCCCACTAATGCAAAACAGTGTCTTGCCAAGATCCCACTATAAAGTGCCTATCACATGGTCAGCCACAGATGAGTATTTAACAACTTTATTATGCTGGCATGCTTAGCTCAGACCCAACATTCAAGGTAAATCTCACTGTAGACATAAAAGAAATTAGGAAGCAGTTGGTGTGAAAGCAGTGCTCTCCTCTCTTGTGATATTAATTCCCTTTATGGCTATAGGGTGTGGTGAATTGGAGGGAAAAGTGGAGTATCTGGGACTCTGAGTCTGAATAAGACATAGAGACAGATAATTCATGAGGGGTGATGGTGGGTCCTGGCTTTCAGGATCGCAAGACTCTTAAAAGCTGCCTATGGTCTCAGGAAGGACAAATCCAAGGGCATTGATTGTTTGATCACCTTGAAACTCTTTCTTGCTCTGACCACAGGTTCTACCAAAAGACACGCATTGGAGGCCTGCAGGACCGAGAGTGCATCCCATGCACGAAGCAGACCCCCACCTCTGAGGTTCAATGTTTGTATCCAGTTCTCTTCTCTTTTTCCTTCCCCAACCCATTGGGTAGCAGTAAGCCAGGGTAGTAAAGACTTCTACTGCCCCATCATACTTCTTCCTATAGTTTAGATTGACAAGGGAATCAGATTTGAATCCTGGTTTTCCAATGTATTATATTTGTAACCCTCTGCAAATCATTGAAATTTGTTGACCCTCATCTGAAAAAAAATATGTTAGGACAGTCATTTTTCATATTTTATTGGATGGCTATCTATATCTAATGAAATAATGGATTTAGAAAGTAGCTTATAAATTATAACATGTGTATACTTGTGGATGATGATGATATGAGGTTTATAATAGTCCCTAGTGCTTAGGACTAGTAAAGGCTAAATGAAGTACTAGGATCTAGTCTATGCTTATATCACCATCAATTTATCTGTCCATCTGCCTATCATTTTCATATATCTACCATCCATATATCTACTCATGTATTCTTTTTAAATTATTTATGACTTTTTAAATAATAAAATAGTTCAAATATGTAGAAATATTTAAAATGCAGAAAATATAAAATGCTCAGTAACCCAACATCCATAAATCTTGACATTTTGCATTTTTACTTCAGATATTTTTAAAAGAATGAGGACTTCACAGGTTTAATGGAATTCCCTTTTTCATCCTCTCTGAGTTCTATTATCTACTAACTTCCCCAGAGGCAACCACTATCATGAAATTGTATGTATCTTGCTGGTAGGCTATGCTACAGTAACAAACTCCACAATCTGAGTGACTTAATACAACAAAAGTTTGTTTTTCACTATGCAAAGGCCTCCTCCATCTTGTGACTATATCATCTACATCATGTGACTTCCAGGTTAATGAGACATGAAAAGAGATTGAGAAGGCATACTTGCTTTTAATTACTTCAGTCTGCAAGTGACACACATCCATTGGCCAGAAGTACTCTGATGGCCTTAGTATAAGAGTGAATGGGAAATGCAGGGAAGCATGTGAATAATTGGTGAACACTATGATGCTCCAATTTCTCTACCCATGTTTTAATACTTATATTCTTTTGTAACATCTATAATAATAAAAGCATAATATGCAAATTGATTGAACAGTTAAACAGCAGAACAACTGTCTGAACGACCAGCTATGACATGCACTGGTGCCAGGCCAGCCAAGGCAGGTGTGATGCGATTGGTTGGGGTTCCTACCATCGCTCCATAGACGCCCTGCAGAGGGAAGCCCAGGCTACCCAGCCTATGGCACTGAGGTGGGTGGGCAGGGCTTCCCTCCTTGGGGTGATTGATCACGGGGCTCTAGGACTGCAAGAGGGCACAGCCCAGGCTGAGGGACCCCCCTCCCCGAGTGCACAAATTTTGTGCACCAGGCCTCTAGTATATACATATTTATCAACAATATATGCTGTTATTTATATTTTATAATGTTTTATATAAATGACATCAAGTTACACACTTTCTTTCTCTGATTTGTTTTCTCCTCTGGATTATTTATATGAATCCATACATGTATGTTATTTTAAATGCTATATAATATTATATCATAGGATTATATCATGATTTATTTATCTTGTGCCCATGGATGAACACTTTGTTTCCATTTTCCTAGGTTATATAACTAGAGGTGACATAGAAAGACTGTAGGTTATGTACATCTTCAAATATTTGTACTAATTTATACCATATTAGTAGTATATGCTAATATCTCTGCTTTATTCTTTACATTTTTGCCTAATCCACAAAAGAGTAAAACCAGCTTATCAGCCCTAAAAGGGAAAGGCCTTAGGGAGAGATGGATGGCCTGAGGAAGTCCAGGCCCAGTGTTAGGGTGACTGTTGACTGCCTACACTGATTGACTTCCCCTAATTTCTTGTCTCACAGGTGCCTTCCGGTTGAGCTTAGTGAAGGCAAATGTACCCACAGTGCCCCCTCAGGAGGCCACACTTGTACTGGTGAGCAGTGTGCTCATGGTGTTTACTCTGGCATTCCTGGGGCTCTTCTTCCTCTACTGCAAGCAGTTCTTCAACAGACATCGCCAGAATGGTAAGTGTAGCTGCTTGGTATTACATGAATCAAGGTCATGATCACCAGGAACTGGGACTGGGAGGTAGTAGACCTTACATACTGTGCTGGACAACCCCAGAGGTAGACTATCGGCGGCTGGCAGTAGAAAGCACGGGACTTCAGAGATGACTGAGACCAACCCTGAGCATTCACAGGACCTGCTTCATTAAGATACAGAGCTTCATAAAGGAACAAAACAGCATGGGAAAAGCATTAAAATAAATTCTTCAGACCTAGATTCTAAGTCTACATCTGAATCACTGTATAACTATAGTCAGGTCATCTAACTTCTTTAGGCCTCTTTCTCCCTAATCTTTAAAATGACAGGTAGAATTAGATAACTTGGTTTTTTAAGTTATTTTACAATTTTTCATTTCTACTAAGAGGTATAGACTCGGGAACATGTCAGGAATGAAGGGAAGCTGGCTGGATTTGAGATATGACTGTAATAAGAGTGGGTGAAGTCTCAGATAACTGTTATTAGTATAGTTATAACCCAAATGTTGGTAGCTGAGAGCTCAGAGTACAGAGGAGTTGGCAAATCTAGAGGTTTTTGCCCCAGACAATAATGATATCCAAAAAGATCTGGCAGCCCATAGGAGATAGCCATATGAAATTGTAAATGGAAGGTCATATTTAAATCAGTGGTAACATTGTGATGTTTTTTCATTACAACTTCAACCATTAGCCAAAAAATGGAGAAAGAATGTCCAGATCACTGAGGGCAAAGATAGGGGATGTAGGATGATGGCTGGCCAGGACCAGGCAGGGTATTAAAACTCCAGCCAAGGGTACTGAGGCTAAGTACAGTTTATGTGTCATCAAGGGAACTGAAAGCTATGGAGAGATACTAAAACAGGAACACAGGCTACTGAATGTTCTTAATGCTATCTGCAAACTGCTGTTGATTTAGTAAGATTTACAGGATATTGGGGTCCTTAAGACTCCTCTTTAGTCAATTGGATGCAGGGCCCAAAGCAATACAACTTTTACCTCTCTCTATTTGTATGAGAAGATCCCTCTTATATAGACCTACCTTGGTCACTTTGACTCTAGAGCCTGTCATATGATCTTCAAAAAGCCTAACAGATGTGTTTTGCTGTACCCCTGGCTTAAATTGAGATTAATCTAGCATTTATGGGCTTCAGGGACACAAGAGGAACACTGTTGTCGATTTATAACCCTTATTAAACTCTATTTCTCTCTCTTCTACTCATTGGAAATTGTGATTCAGGGTAGACCATCCTGTATTTGACTTTGGAGGTTAGTTTCTCAAATAGGAGCTGTTGCCCAGTCCTTGGGCACAAAACATAGACAATGAAGCATTTGGGCCACAGAGCCCAGAAAGATGAGGCACCACCTGAGATCTGCCTGTCTCCCTTTTCTTGACTCTGAGAGAAGGAATAGGTAACTTTTTTATGCTTTTTCTCTGTCCTCAACATAATGTAGTTCCCTTCTGTGAAGAACTGAGGGCAGGCAGCTCCCTTAGGGTCTCCATATGGAAAAGAGGATTAGACAATTTTTCCATTGGGATGGGTGCTTATCAGGAGTCACTGACTTACAAGCATACTGTGGTTGTATAGGTGAGATTAACATGTGAATTAGATCCAATATAAGGTGCAGCAGAGAGTAGTAGTGACTGTGGCAAACTGAAGAATTCATCTCCTGTCTAAAGGGGAATTTACTACTCAGATCCAGTTATTTGTTACCATGTGGGGATATTCAATATTTCAAGATCTCCTGGATTTTTCAAAAGAGCAAAATATCTGGATTTTTTTAATGAAATATTTTTAAGCTCTGACAATGAGTTCTAATAAAAAGTAAAATCACAACCACAATGTGAAGGTCAAGAAAATACATGTAAGCTCACAGTTTGTAATCTGATGTCAAATCAGACTTAGGTATGAAGGATATATTACTTTTCCATCACTGACATAACAAATTACCACAAATTTGATGGCTTAAAATGATACCCATTTATTATCTCTCTATTTCCATAGATCAGAAGTTTTGCAGGCTCAGTTGAATCTCTGCTTAGAATCTCACAAGACTGAAATAAAGGTGTAGGGAGGACTGTGTTCCTTTCTGGAAGCTCCAGAGGAGACTGCATTTCCTTGATCATTCAGGAAGATGGAAGAATTCCGTTCCTTGAATTTATAAGGCTGAGGTCCCATTTATATGTTGACTGTCAGCTGAGAGTCATTCCAAGTTTCTAGAGGTCACCCACATTCTCTGGCTTATGACCCTGTTCCATTTTCAAAACTAGCAATGACGAGTTGAGTTCTTTGGATGACTCATCTTTCTGATATTCTTTCTGTTTCTTCTGGCTCCCTCTTCTACTTTTAAGGATACATGTGATTATTTTTGGTCCACTTGGGTAATCCAGGGTAATGTCCCTATTTTAAGGCCCATGTCCTTAATGCTATCTTAAGTGCCTTTGCCATATAACATACACACAGGCATAACACCAGAAGGTGAAGATCATGGTGTTGGGTGTCAAAACCCTGCTTCCCACAAAAGTTTACTTTTTCTCTGGATAAATGAGTCTTTTATCAAATATATATTTTTTTATTGTTGACAGTATTGTAGACATCCCCCTTCTCCCCCTCTTTCCCCCTCCACCAAGCCCCTACTCCTCTATCCCTTCACCACACTATTGTCGGTGTCCATGGGCAATGTATATGAATTATTTAGTTTATCTCTTCTTGACCCCCCCCCCTTCCCTCTGAGATATGTCAGTCATTCCATGCCTCTGGATCTATTTTGTTGATCTGTTTATTTTGTTCATTAGATTCCACAAATAAGTGAGATCTTGCAATATTTGTCTTTTTCTGACTGACTTATTTCACTCACTATAGTATTATAATTTACCCTGCTTCACTACCAGGTAGCCTCAATATGATACCCCAATTTAAGTATGTTTCTCAAATGTCACCTCAGACTGGTGTTAGGTGATCTGGTCCCCAGGAAGAGGAAGGAGAGTGCTAGCTCCCAGACCCTTTTTTATCTTGTATTCAGGACCAGGTGCCTTCTGAAAGGAGCTCCTGCCTTTGGGTGACCCAGTGGCTTTCTGCTTCGGGTTACAGGAGGTTCGCTGCAGTTTGAGGCTGACGAGGCAGCGGAGGAGGAATCTCTCTTCCCTATGCCACCTGGCCAAGAGACCAATCCTGAGTCCCCACTGAGTGAAAGCATCTTTGAGACCCAGCCATTTAACCCCATCCTGGATGATGACCGCAGCTCAACTCGTGGCTTCCCCACCCAGGAATCTTTTACCATGGCCTCCTGCGCCTCAGAAAGACACTCCCACTGGGTCCACACTCCCATCGAATGCACAGAGCTGGACCTGCAAAAGTTTTCCAGCTCTGTCTCCTATACTGGAGCTGAGACCTTGGCAAGGGGACACAGCTGAAAGCTCTGGAGAGAGGCTGGAACTCAATGTGCCTCTTGAAGTTCCCAGCCCTTAACTCTCTACTGAGGTGAGCTGAAAAGATGGGGAAGAAAGACCAGAAGTTTGGGACCACCCCAGAAGAATTATCCTCTTGAATACTATTGTTTAGTAGGGCTAGCAGTAGAGGAACAGCAAGCTAGGATCACTGATGGATGTTAGAGCAACAGTGATAATACTAATCATTTGAGCAAATCAGATATCACATTTCTGGGCCTTCAAGGAACTGACTAGGTTGATGTGACACCTATCTCTTTATTCTTGCTTGTTGCAAGGATTCTTAGATCCCACTATCTAATAGTGATTCAGTGATCTCCCTCCATGTAAACAAGAACCATGACACAGTAGAAAAATATACAGGCCTGACATCTGGGAGCCCTATATTTCAAATCTACCTACATCCATTAATAGCTATGTGAACCTGTATAAATCTCTTTACCTCTCTGAGCTGCAGGTCCTTAATCTGTAAAATTTAGATCAGTCACCTCATATCTTCTGTGAGTGTTGAATGAGAAATGCATGTGCAAGTGCCTTTTATAGTATTTGATGCATTAGAGATGTTTAAACTATGTTAGTTTTTCTTTCCTTTCCCCACTCCCAGCCACAATCTACACAGTCATTCATATACACTAAACTCATATTTAAAACATCCCTTTATTGTAAGCAGGTTGGGGTTTGTTAGCCTTATTTTATAGAAGCAGGGACTGAGACACAGAAAGGGAAAGTGATTTGCTCAAAATCAATCATAGAGCAAATCTGTTGCAGAACTAAGCTCAAGCCCTGTTTTGGGGCTACAATACAGAGCTTTTCCAACTCTATCAATGCAACTATTCCATAGACAATGTTGCTTTCTCAAAGGCTTAAGGAGCATGAGGCAGTGTGAGGCAGGATGGTTGGTATATTCCTACTTTTCAACTAACCAGCTACCTTTCACTACCCATTCCACCTAAGATATTGTCCAGGTCCTTCAATTACATGCTCCTCCCTACATCCTACCTGAGAAAATGTGAACGATATGTGGATGAATGCCAAAACTACTATCAAAACAGTCAAGTCCAACCTATCCTTCAAGTCCTCCAATACATGCATGAGTCCCTTTTATAATATTCCACCAAGTTTCTTTGTCATCCTTACTCTCATATTTGCAGTGTCAGTAAGAGTACCACTCACTGCTCAATGTGTATTGCAACTATGATTGGTGGATTTGAACTCAACAGGAAGAAAAGCTTTCTGTCTCCTGTAGTAACAGCCATTGGGTCCTGGTTCTGTTCCTTGGACTGCACAGAACTCATTTGCTTTCTCTGCCTTGTGATAGCCCTGATAAAGTCTGGAGATAGCATCTCCTCTCTGGAAAGTACTACTTTGGGTTCCTCTAAAGTATGTGCAACTTAGAGCTGAACCCAGTTTCAAAAGGAATGGTCTCACCAGTGTAGAATAGACTATCATCTCCCAGGTAGGTGACATATTTCTGTTATTAAAGCTTAAACTATTGGCCTAAACCATGCTAGATAGTTTTTATTTGGGGAGGAAGCTAGCAAGATTGCACCCACAGTTTTCTAACTTGCTCTGCTCCTTCCCTAGGTCTCTTGGGCTCCTGGCAGCCTTGCCCAGTCATTCTCCCTGGACGCTCCTGCCTTATTTCTATACCACAGCAGCAGGGCCTGGAATGTGGTGTCCTCAACAGCTACTACTCTACAGATGGGGTATATCTTATCCCCTCCTACCAGAGAATTGATTCTTCACCATTTTCCCAAGACTGATCTACAGCATTTCTTGCTTAACTATTCTAGCTAGACTGGAGAGCTGGATTCCACAGCCATGGGCCTACCAAACATGTCCCTAGCTCAGCTGGATTATAGAGAAGAGGGAAGGTGTTGAGAAATAATGATGTAGAGTTTTACTGAGTACATCTTTGATCAGGTGGACCTGAAGGAATGGCCTCTCGGTACTCTATTGATACATCTACCTAGCACTTTATGGACAAAAATCAGATCCTTCCCCTTTTAGATCCTCTGCACTGACCCTCTCCCTAACACACACACACACACACACACACACACACACACACACACACACACACACACACCCCTACATGTATCTTGGGAGAGGCCTGGCATTTTGATTCCCCATTCATCTTCTAGATTTCTGTTACTGTGACAGCTTTGGAGTTAGCCCATTTGCCAGAGTCTTCCATCCCATATATAGGTATCTACTCTTCTTTAGTGGGGAGTTAACTCAACTAAGTGTCTTTTTGATCTTTAAAATAGTAGCTCCTTTTATTTTTTCTTATCTTCAACTCTTGCTTCTTTTGTTCCTTCCTGGTGACTGGTCTTTTAAAGGTTAAGGTTGAGTTTCTTGATTCCCTGGGCCAAATTCAGAGCTCAGAGCTTTAATTTGGGGGGTTACAGTGAAGTTCCTGAGATCTAGGGGGGGACACTGAGAACCTAAGCCTCTCAATGAGGCCTGATCGTAGGGTGCCCTGGCTGATGTGGTCAAGTAGTTGGAGTGTCAGCCTGCACACCAAATGGTCATAGGTTCAATTCCCAGTTAAGGGCACATACCTGGGTTTCAGGTTCAATCCCCGGCTCCACTTGAGGCATGTGTGGGAGGCAACCAATGGATGTGTCTCTCTCATAGATATTTCTCTCTTCCCCCTCCCCCTCTCCCTTCTATTTTCTCTAGAAAGCAATGCAAAAAATATCCTCAACTGAGGAATTTTTTAAAAAGACCATTAATGTTTTCTTGGTTTAGAGAAAAACAATCAATTTCAAATCCCTCATCACCAGTTTTACATGCTTCTAAGAATAATGGAACTCTTTTCCTATGACTTATTTCATAGAGAACTTCAGGGCTCAGATGCAGGCACCATGGATTGTTTTTTTTAAGTCAACCTTATGTCCATAATGGGTTATTGGACTGATGCCCACTCCCTCACAGTGGATCATATTTGGAAGGAAAATGTGTTCAATTGAATGAAGCAACCATCTCCGTTGTTTGGGAGCAGCCTATATAGTCCAGAATGCTGGATGTGACTTAATTTGTAAGAAAACATCACTGGAGAGAGGGGATTGTTATCGTGGGATGGGAAGACTGCAATTTACTAGATGTATATGGATGCTGCACTTTACAGTTTGCAATGTACCTTCACAACCATCATCTCATTAGATCTTTACACTGACAATAAGGTGGGCAAGGCAAGGGTTACAATTCCCAGTTTACAGGTGAAAGATGAAAAATGACTGGCCTTAACTACTTAGTGATGTAGGGGTAAATAGCAAAGCTAGGGGGATCTCCGATACCTTGAAATCTTTATTTTTCTAGAAGACAGTGTTTTGGAGTAGGAGTATTTTGGTTTTCTGGCATATCTGTTCCAGAAAACAACTCTCTTTGGAAAGAAGGATGGTGGAGACAAATAAGGTTGTTATGCCTAAATGTGAAGCAGCAGTTCTCAACCTGTGGGTCGCGAACAATGAAAATACATCCTGCATATCAGCTATTTACATTATGATTCATAACAGTAGCAAAATTACAGTTATGAAGTAGCAACGAAAATAATTTCATGGTTGGGGGTCACCACAACATGAGGAACTGTATTAAAGGGTCACAGCATTAGGAAGGTTGAGAACCACTGGAATAAAGTAATGTCTTTTCCCATCATACCAAGCCTATCCTTACCCTTTCCCACCAGCTCTCCCACACATCTTGCAGTCAACCTGGATGTACATTCTCTGCAAGATCTGACCCCAGTGGGAAGCTAAGAGACTTTCTGTTCAGCGCTGACTCACAAGAGGTCAAAAAGAAGGGCTGCAAGGTTAGATAATACTCTTTCTACTTGTCTATCTCTCTTCTTTGCCCCTGGGGTGTGAAAAGAAAAGATAAAGGCTGGAGCCAGTAGGAGCATTCATCCAACTTGACTCCTACCCTCCTACATTCCTCAATTCAATTTAAGAGTCTCCGATCTTGGTTTGAGGAAGACTTGAGACTTTAACTTTATTTGTAAGTACATAGGGGGAAATTATCCGTTCTCTAAAAGTCTCTCCCAGCTGTTATTTAAGCAAATTTTTCAATTATAATACTTGAGTGCTTTATAGTCTGTAAAACTTTATTCAGCCCTGACCGGTTTGGCTCAGTGGATAGAGCATTGGCCTGCGGACTGAAAGGTCCTAGGTTCAATTCCAGTCAAGGGCATGTACCTTGGTTGCAGGCACATCCCCAGTAGGGGGTGTGCAGGAGGCAGCTGATCGATGTTTCTCTTTCATTGATGTTTCTCACTCTCTGTCCCTCTCCCTTCCTCTCTGTAAAAAAATCAATAAAATATATTTTTTAAAAAGTTTATTCATACATTTTGCCTATTTTAAAGAACAGGAAACTGAGGTCCAGATATGAATAGTAACTTATGCAAAGCAGTTCATATTTGGGAGAGGCAGCCTGCCCCACATACCCACCCCTAGAGCAAAGTATGGATTCCATAGCTGATAGTAGACACTAGGAAGGAAGAGTAGAGCACACACTACTCTTGGTATGGCATAGGGATAGGCAGGGGTGTTGGAGGGCACTGGTTATTTTTCTTTACTGCCTAAATAACTCTCAAAACATCACTGAGGAGCACACAAAAATAGGAAAGAGACTTAAGATATTGATTAGATAGTTAATCCCCACTGCCAGGAAAAGCAGCTGACCCATAGTTAAGTGTTGATGAGGAAGTCTTCCATTAAAAGATAGCACATCATGTCACCTGCGGGATGGAAAGGACTATGCTTTCTTTGTTTTTTGTTTTGTTTTGGTTTGGTTTCTGTTTTTTTGTTTTGTTTTTGCTTTTTCTCTCCCTGTATCTCTTACCTTGTATGACCTATAAGGTTTCCTCTGCCTTCTTTCAGGTCCCTCTAGAGCAGCTGTGGGCAAACTACGGCCCGCGGGCCGGATCCGGCCCATTTGAAATGAATAAAACTGTTGAAAAAAAAGACCGTACCCTTTTATGTAATGATGTTTACTTTGAATTTATAT